CAATAACACAGCATGCCAATCGTCTTCCAGCATTGCCATTCAGCAAGCTTTCCACATTCCCACCTCTGCCTAAATCATCCTCTCCCGCATGAATCACAACAGACCGGCCAATTATTGAGAGTCTTCCAAAGAGTGTTGCACTGGAGTTCAGTGATTGACGAATCTTCCCATTAACAGGAACAAAGTTCCCAAAGTCCCCTGGATGTTGTGGATGGTTCACACTGAGGGGATTGTAATGCCCACCTGTAGATCCGCAGCCTTTGCTTAAGTCTCCGTACTCATGAATGTGCATTGCTCTGGGCTGCTGGCTGTAGACAGGGAGACCATACAGTTTGAAAGTCACGCTCAGCTTTTCCTTTGGACCAGACTGTTTGAAAAAAACATGACCGTACACACAGGGCAATCCAGGTGATAACTGAGTGTTAGGGCGCATTCTACATACGGCCTGAAGGGAATTGCTCTTCACTGGTGGGGAAACTGGATTCGAAGCATATGCCAAACCTGAGCGTGATCCACAGAAGTGCACATGGCAACTGAGCAAGAATGCTAGAAGTGGTAAAATGTAGAAGGATTTCATTTCTTCTTTTCCCTGTGGCAAAACAAAACACCTTAATCAGAAAATCATAAAGTCAAGTCAAATGTTACTAGTCAATATGCATTCAACATCAACACCCCTATCTTATTAAATTGCAATGTTGAAAATGTACTATAGACTCTGTGGGATTATTGAGACAACCTATATCCACAAAGGTGTTTATAAAAACATAAAAATATCCGAAACAATGTCACAAGCCTCGACGTTGCTAATCGCAAGAAAACAAAATCCATAAAGGCTAGTTAGCTTACATTTTTTGATTGTGTACAGTCCAATTTTGGTAATAGCCTAAATATAGACATATCTCCCGTGTTACGTCACCGTTTTTAAAAAGCACTTTTTATAACCTGTTACTCGGTCGGTGTTCCTTCGCGTGTGACACATTTTAGGTTGTTGTTTTATACTTGCATAACTACGGTAGCCGAGAAGTGCAAAGCAAATCACAATTCTGAAAACAAAATTACAAATTACAAACGCAAATGCAAGTCTAAAAAACAAAATTACAATTCAGAAAACACAACAGCAACTCAGAAAACATTATAACAAGTCAGAAAACACAATGACAAATTCGAAAACAAAATAACAAGTCAGAAAACACAAAGACAAATCAGAAAACAAATGAACAAATCAGAAAACACAACGACAAATCAGACAAACCGGAAGAGGTAGGTATAGTTTGAGACAGGGCCATTGGTTTGGGATTACTCACCGCTGACTGGACGAGACATCTGTCAATCAACGCATACAGGAAGAACCAGCTGAAGAACAGCAGAGTCGTGGTAGAAAGTTTGAAGATGGTATTAAAGTAGCACAGTTTAAATGTATTGTATGAATTGCCCTTACTATGGAATAAAAAAATGGGGTGTCTATTTACATTTAGTTAAAAGTGGCTTTAAATCATCAGCTCCTGTGGTGCAGATGGATAAGCGTGTGTTGTTGGCTTTTTTGACCCGGGTTCGATCCCGTCTTTTGCCGAACTTTTTTTTCCTCCCTTTTCAAAACTCGTATTAGCAATGGATTCTATTTACACTAAGTGCAAATACCTATTTACACTGTTAAAATAGCAGGTTTTCTACTACTTGTACACTTCAGTATTGTAGTACATTATAAAACAGTATGCAATAATAACGTATTGAGTGTAAATTATAATTTTAATTTTAATTATTAAATGGATGCCACCTTATTGGTACAATAAAGCTCTCCCTACACCTACCCTAACCCTACCCGATACTTTATTTTCAACTTTTTGATTATTTCCTTAATTTTTTTTTAATCAAATGCCTTTACGATGTGATACGAGATTTGAAAAGGGAGAAAAAAAAATGTCGGCAAAAGGCGGGATTGAACCCCGGTCGATCGCGTCAAAAAGCTAATGACAAGCGCTTATCCATCTGCGTCACTGGAGCTGATGTTTTACAACCACTTTTAACTAAATGTAAATATACACTCCGTATTTTTTATTCCATAGTAAGGGCAATTCATACAATACATTTAAACTGAGCTACTTTAATACCATCTCCTAACTTTCTACCACGAATCTGCTGTGCTTTGGCTGGTTCTTCCTGTATACGTTGATTGACAGATGTCTCGTCCAGTCAGTGGTGAGTAATCCCAAACCAATGGCGCTGTCTCAAACTATACCTACCTCTTCCGGTTTGTCTGATTTGTCGTTGTGTTTTCTGACTTGTTATTTTATTTTCGAATTTGTCATTGTGTTTTCTGATTTGTTATAATGTTTTCGGAATTGTTGTTGTGCTTTCTGAATTGTTATTTTGTTTTTTTAGACTTGCATTTGCATTTGTAATTTGTTATTTTGTTTTCAAAATTGTGATTTGCTTTGCACTTCTTGACTACTGTATAGGGGTCTGTTGAGACAGTTCCATTCAGAGCTTGTGCAAGAGCAAGCGGTAGACCCTGTGTGACAGGCCAAAACTTAGTATGATACTAGGCTCTTGGTCGTATCCCCTTAAAGGAATCCATTTTGATTCCAAGCCTGGAGCTCTACCCCGGGCCCAGGAGTCTGGCCCTAACAGGTAAGTTTGGGTATGTAGCCTAGGCCTTTGGCCGTAGGGGATAAAGTCACGGACAGCCGTCTGACGTTCCAGGGGCAACTCACCATTAAAATGGTAAAGTTGGTACTTAGTGCTCGTCATGATTTTGGCCCGCATTCCCCTCAGCATGGCGGCGTGGGTATACCATTCCCCATAGTGACCCCCTAGAGGACGCAGTTTGAAGTTCCCTTGAAAGGGAACGTCTCAGGTTACCTATGTAACCATGGTTCCCTGAGTAGGGAACGAGACACTGCGTTCTCTAAGCTTCCTGCCATGCTTCGAACGCAAGCTTCAGACGAAGAAGTGAATGACATGTTCTCCCGGCGCCTATTTACACTAATAGTCGCACCGGTAGTTGACGTCATGGGCTGTCGCCAGCCATCGTGTTGTTGGTGTTTTTTCAATGTATGCTTCAGACACGGGTCACGACGAGGTGTTCCCCATAGTGACAACTAGAGGACGCAGTGTCTCGTTCCCTACTCAGGGAATCATGGTTACATAAGTAACCTAAGACGTTCTCTTTCATGGTATACCGCGCATTTAATAAAGTTTTTTTTTTTTATAACAATCAACCATGTGATGCTTTTTATTTTGTCATTAATCCTGTTTCTTAATCGCTCTAATGTGCTAATAACTTAACACAGATGTTTGCTTCCACTGAGATAGCAACAGTAGAATTTCTTTGGTCATCTGATGTCATACGTATTTTATTATAAGGACTACAAAACAATTTACCCCCACTCAGGTGTAATGCACTAGAAAATTGCTTTGCCGGTCCATAGCAGTTATGTGAGACTCCGGTGAGAAAGTTTCGCTTGTGTGTTTTCACGTGCACGTAGCTGTAGCTATCTTGAAAATAATGCATTTCAACTTTATTAAAATTAGGGATAATTCTGTTAAGTAATTCTAATTTAGTTTACTGTGAGACCTTAATTTTTGTGATTTTTTTTGCGGTGAAATGAAGAATTATGCAGGATCGAAAAAAAGCGACATTTATTTGACTTTGCATTGGATTCAGCTTTCAACATTTCGCGAATCCCGAAAAACTGGGATTTGTTATAGATACAGCTTTTGATGAGCTAAGATTACTGTACTTGTCATTCACTCAAAATACAGAGGGGAGTCTTGCAGACCACTGTAATGAGTTATATTATTTTGCTGTTTGCCGTTGTCAGGTATGGTCTTGACAGGCAAGAGTAGAGGTCTAATTAAAGTTTCAGATGCAAAATGATTTATGCAAATTCAGCGGTCCTTTCTTGCAGTGCCATAGTAACAGAGAGATTACATGATGAGATTCGTAAACTGGGAATTGAGGTTGTATCATGACATTTAATCCCTTTATAATCATGTGTGGCTAAATGTTATTTCTCCAAACACTTCATACAGCATGTAACATCAAGAGATAATTTATTTCACATAATTCAAACATCTTTAGCTATCCAAAATTTGCTCTGCTCTCTCTTAACTCTAGAAAATTGATGGAGTTATTAGATAAGTTTCCTTCCAAACATAATGTATAAACATTGTCTCTTCTGAATGTTTCTAAATGTGATTTTAGTGATGCCAGAAACTACCATTGTAAAATAAAAAGGAAGCTATTTATCAGCTATACATTTTCATGTACATACCAATCTATGCAAGACACACACATACATACATATATTAAATAGTTTACTTACTATTACAAAAGTTTGAAAACATCAGCAAAGAATCCTGAAAACAATGTTTCCACAACAAAATCTGTTTTTAACATTGATAATAAGAACCATTATTAATAAGTACCAATAATAATTGAGCAGCAAATCAGCATATTAGAATGATTTCTAAAGGATCATGACAAGACTGGAGTAATGATGCTGAAAATTCAGCTTTGCATCACAGGAATAAATTACATTTCAAAATATATTACAATAGAAAATAGGTCTCTTAAATTGTAATAATATTTCACAATATTCCTGTTCTTGCTGTATTTTGGATCAAATAAATACACCCTTGGTGATCAACAGAGACTTCATTAAAACATTTAAAAATCATCATGTTTCCAAACTTACATATAAACATATATAAAGGTAAATATAAAACAACATTTAAAAGGTGTCATCAAAAGAATAAAACAGAAAATAAATAAAACAGTATTAATCACAAATTCTGTACATTTTAACTTATGGGTCATTCCGTGTCAACTGAACCAGAGTTCCCCAGCTCATTTTTTTGGATTTTCCTTTTTTTTTTTTCTGAAGAAAGATAAACATGGACAGTGATGAAAGCTAAAATATTAAATGTCTTGGATGAATATTTACTGAGTAATCCATTATGTTGCTGGGGGATGGAGGGTGCAAATTTCACCTGAGATTCAGAGCCAAATTACAGGGGGTTAAAAATGACTTCAGCATCATAATGTTATTTTTACACAGAGATTGGTAGGTCTGTTAGTCAAATCTGTTGACTTTAGCCATCTTTGTTGCATTATGTGCCAATTTTGTAATTTGACTCTGCATCTCAGGTGAAAATGGCCATTTTGATCTCCCTCTAATAGTGGATTGCTCAGTAAATATTCATCCATGCCATTTAATATTTTTGCTTTCATCACTATACATGTTTATATTTCTTCAGAAAAAAATATTAGCAAAATCAAAAATTTTAGCTGGTGAAGTTTCTTATATTTGTTTGATTTGACACGGAATTCTAACTATTCCACAATTTCAAAACTCCTGCACTAGGAGAAATAAATATTATACAATTGCTGGCACAGAGTAAGAGTACAAAGAAACCCAGATGATTAGATTCTTGAGAAGAATTTGACAACAAGCCTTTCAGTTGATCATGAATTCTCTGATTTTTGACTGGCATTGTGGAGCTCCTGTGAGATAACCCTGGCACTTTTCTCATCAGATTTAAGCAAAAGTCTCCACTTGTTCTCCATTTAATTCCACAGCTGTCTAGAGCAAACATGCTATATATTATAGATATCTCCATTGAGATTTCCTATTCTATAGGGCGTTATTTAATCGTCACTCTCTCTTGAATAGTTAATTTTCACAATGTCAATCAATCACTGACAGAAACTAGTTCAATCTCATTTTTAACTTCCTCTTGATGCCACTTGATGTTACTTAGGGAGGAAGGCAAAAAATGTACTCTGTTAAATGATGATATGCCGCATTCATTCATCACAACTGACAAAAATGCCAGCACAGTTAATATGAGAGGAGAGTGACATACTTGATTACTCATTCACTGCAGCTACAGAGCTCGTGTGCTGTGTATTATAAAGTCTTTGACAAATAGAGACTGTCACAGTCTGTCTGTGATAAAGCTGAAATGCTTCAGTATTATTTGCG